TTATATTAATATATCTTACATTTGTCATGGTTTTGGTTCTGTTTCGCTTTACTTTGCTCCATGTTTCCTAGTTTTATTGGTTTAATTCCTATTTTGTTGTAGTTTCTAGATTTATGTTAGTTCTCAGGTTTTTCTGTTGTCCTTTGTTGCCCTCTTGTGTGTGTTCCTTTCCCCTTGGCTCCCTCGTTGTCTCCTCACACCTGCTCCTTGTCAGCTCGTTAACCCTGCCTTGTCTCAGTCAGCTACATATACTCTCCCTCTGCTGTCACTCGTTGTTGGTTCCTTGTTGTTGCTGGTCCTGTCGTCGCTGTTCTCTGCTCACCTCGTCTCTCCCTGGCTCCTTGTGCGTGTTTTCCCCTGATGTCTCCATGGTTCTGGTCTGTGTTACATTTTTTGTTGGATTTTGTCTGTTATTATTGTTTGCATTAAAACTACAAGAAATCACCTCAGCCTCTCTGCCTCTGCATTTGGGTCATCTAAACCACAACCAAAATGTGACAATATTACATCTTTTCTATTTTATAATTACATTGTATTTTACAAATGTGTAAAGCACCTTGGTCCTCTCGGTGCATAAAATGCTTCATAAATAAAGTTTGGTATGGTATTGTCACAGTCTTGGTTTGTTAGTTCCTGTCTTCCAGGTTTTCCATTTGTTGTCCTCTGCTGCCCTCTTGTGTCCTCTTTCCCTTGCTCTGTTTTCTGCTCTGTCCTCACCTGTTTTCAATCACCTCGTTAGCCCTCTCTTTATCTCTGTCCCCTTTATAAGCCCTCCCTCTTCAGTTCCTGTTTGCTGGATCCTCGTCAAACATCTGTCTGCTTACCTCGTCTCTTCCTGGCTCCTAGAATTTGGTTTTCCCCTGATGTCTCTTTGGTTCTGGTCAGTTTGTTATTTCTGTTGGATTTTTTTGATTCCTGCCTCAGTTTCTGTGAACCTCATTAAACCCACCTAAATTCACCTCTGCCTGCTTGCCTCTGCATTTGGGTCCTCAATCCAACACCAATTCCTGACAGGTATGGTATGGTAATAGGTTCTATCTTTTTTGGACGGTGTTATTATGAGGCACAGCAAATATTTTTTTGGTGATCAAAGTTATATCCGACTGAAAAAAAACACATAACTGATTGGAATTGATTAAGATGTGTTTGTATTCACCCTAACTTTCCAGTAAATAAAGCTCCAGGCGACCTTGCTTCGTTTTGCTTTTAATGCACCAGTGAGGCTGAGATGTAAACCAATGTAAACAGGTCAGATTTTGGTTCTGTTGTAATCTGGTTCTGAAATCCAAATTCAGATGCAGGAAATGTGATCGTGTGAGCAACAACTGAGCACACTTGATAGGAGCAGTATTCATCTAGGTCAGGGGTTCCCAAAGTGATGGTCGAGCGATGGTTTAATCATTGTGATGTGATCCCTGAGGTATATAGAGGGTTAAAATATCTCAGAAAATACATAAATGCGAATATCACATGCACTGTTACTTTTTGAGTTAATACATGGTTAAAATAATAAATATACAAACACATGTAGCGTCATTGCTGAAAGCCAACCGGAGCAGTTGTTTGCTAAATAAACTCCACTTTCGTCACGTGGAACTGGTTTGGCTTTTCGCCAAATGACAAGGAGAAAACAAAAGTAATTTTCAAAGTTTGCCCAGACACGGTTTGCATGTCGGATGGCTACGCAACAAACTTGTTTAATCACATAAAGAGAGTATGAGAGCCAAACAGGGAGAGGACCGCCGGCAGCATCACAGTTGCTAGACCCCAACAGGCAACATTAACACAGGGATGGGATAAAGGCTCTCCTTATGAGAAAACAAGCAAGAGGAGGAAAGAGGAAACAGCAGTCATCCCTTGCTGGGGTGTAAGATTATCTTACAAAAGTTACAAAAGAAACAGAATTAGCGATCATAATCAACATGTTAAAACGCCTGCTAAAAGTACTTCAATCTGAACAACTCACACGAAGAGAAAAGACATTTAGGAGACATTTAATGATACAATTACTTAGTCTTTGGCGCTCAGACATGCATGAACAGGAGCAAAGAATAGGGCTGTTTCCTCCCCAGGCCTGAAACTAGTGGTGGAGTGGAGATAAATTAAGTTGGTCAGTCTGTAGACTGCTGGTTAAAGGAATGGTACACCCAAAACATGATTAGCCTTCATTTTCTACTCACCCCCATGCTGAACAACACTCTGGAGTACTTTTTTGATATCTCA